ACTTTAAGTCATACACAGCTGAAAACAGCCCACAATTTGTCTAAGCTTCAAAAGATGAATGGTGACTTGTAGATTCAACGTGCAAAGTTTTCTTTATAGGGCTTCCCAATTTTATATACCAGTGTCCAAGAGCTTGGATATGCATATAAGATTGCAGGCCACATGTCAAATGCCTACGTGCTTTTTCACTTTTTCATTCATTTCATCTCTTCAGCAGATAATGCATATAGAAATAAAAAATGATTTAAACCAAAGTGTCGGTTTTAATCAAATATAAAATGCAAAGTCTGCAGAAGTCCTTGCTTTGCTGAGGTCTGGGTTGCAAGCTATAAAGAATTAAAAGCAAAAAGGTATATTTGGACTCAGTGGCATAAGAGGATAAACATTTTAGTCCTCAATATAACTCCATGATGGGGATTTTTAGTGTTTCTCCAAAAAGAACTATCCACAGTATGTAGTGTACCATGTGAGCACTCACTAATTAGGCCCAGTGAAATCTTTCAGAAGCCAATAGCTGGGCAAAAGATCTGTTAAATCAAGGCCAAAATAATTCTCTGAGCCATCGGTGTTTTTCCATTCTGTTTTTCCTCCTTTTTCATATAACACATGGAAGGGTGTTGCTCTGCTAGGAATTGACAGAGTTACATTAGTAATGCTATCGTACTTGGTGAAACCTTTGTGTGTTGGACAGCACTTACATCCCTGTTTTAGCTTCTGCATTCTGTTGACAGGAGAGGCACTGTATGAGGTGAAATTCCCCAAAAGATGAGACAGTAAGCTACTCACACTTCTTAGCATGCTCAAGAAAGAAGTTTGCAGGGTTTCACAAGAGGCAGATGAGCCTAAGAAGCTGGTGAGAAAAGCAGACACTCAAAACTCCTCCTGCAATGCAAAAAAAACCCTACTTCTAAAACTCTGAGGTGTGTACAACTTGTAATTCACAGTAGCACTTGCCTTTCTGCTCAGTTCCAATCAGTTCAGTGGCTTCCCAGGTCTCAAAGCTGATTAAGCATGGAAATAAGGATGCAGCAAGGGGGAGACTGCCTTAAATACGTAAATAAATGAGTGAATGAATAATAGTCATAAAATCCCTGTCCTGTTTAATTACTAATTCAAATAAAGACAGCCTTTTGGGCTTAAATACCTTTTTAGGGACTCACTTGAATGACAAGACCTAGATGTACCTACTTCTGAGCTGCAGCTCATTCAGTGGTCTTGTCACACTTAAGCAATTCCAGATTTCTGTTCCAGAGTGGCACAAAACCTTGGGCCTTAAATGAAAGATTGCGTGCTGCAGATGAAGCTTTGTTTGAGCACATGAGCAGGCCACACAGGACAGCAAGGCGTGGGGGTTGGGGTCGGGGGGAAGCAGGGTGGGGAATCTGTTTAAACAGAAATGTGAGCTGTTATCCTGTGAGAGGCTGAACAAGTCACAGGCTGGTGCTGACACTCAATTCTAACAGCCATTGCCCTGAGGAGAAAAGCAAAGACAGTGCACAGATTTTCTGAAAGCTAGACAACGGGAGGTAGATATGACAACAGTCTATAAGGTCACAAATGGCATCAGTAAGGAGAAAAACTCCAGTCTTGGCTGTTAAGACATAAATGAGATCAAACTAATTATCAGGAAAAAAAAAGCATAGAATCATAGAATCGTTTGAGTTGGAAGGGACCCATAGAGATCACCTAGTCCCATTCCCCGGCCGTGAACAGGGACATCACCAGCCAGATCAAGTTGCTCAGAGCTCCAGCCAGCCTGACCTTGAACGTCCCCAGGGATGGGGCTTCCACCACCCCTCTGGTTAACCTGTTTCAGTGCCTCACCACCCTTATCATAAAAACCGTTTTTCTTGTATCCAATCTAAATCTGCCCTCTTCCAGTTTCAAACCATTTCCCCTTGTCCTATCATGACAGACTCCGCTGAAGAGTCTGTTCCCTTCTTTCTTAAAGCCCCCTTTTAGATACTGAAAGCTTACAGCTAACAAGTACTTTTTCCAAGCAATGCCTGTTTACTTAGTGGAACTCAGTGCCAAACTACCATGCAGGCCCATGTATAAGTTGAGTTCAGAAATGGTCAGAAAAACTTTCAGGAAAAATCAAGCGTTATCAAATACTACAACACTTTCTCAGTGGTCAAACACAAGGAGAAGTAACAAGGAAAAAAATCACTGTGTTCTGGCTGTGGTTTTGCATCCATTCTCAGAGTGTTCCTTCAGGCTCTTAACAAACAAAAATGCTGAACTAGAGTGACTTCTGATCTGACCATACAGAGCCATCTTTAAATGTTCCTCTGTACTTGTACAATTCATTCATATAGAATGTTTGAATTAAGAATATTTCATACCTGTACAAAACATAATTTTTTTCACAGTCACTCCACATGCTGTAGTACAAATTAAATCAGAGACCTTTTCTTCAGCAGGAAAGTAATTCAGGTTAAATTTAATTAAATAGTCACCATTTAAATACCTAAAACTAATCACAGTGAATTGCTAGTGTTAAATATAATCTTGACCACAGAACAAACTAATGAGATAACTTCAGCATTGCCCCAGCTGCAATTATGGGTTACTCAAGTATTATGGTTTAGATGCTGAATTTTCACTGAATTATTGTGTGCTACTGTATCAAGTTCAATTTATTATCAGGCTAATTAAAGTGTTCTAAAATATTGCAGTTTCTAGAAAAATAACCCCCTAAGGAATTCCCCTGACAAGTCATTAAATTAATGTTCAAAATAATATTCTCATTTTCATCCAAGTCAAGGAAATAAAATATAACTAGAGACTGGAGAGCAGTCCCACGTTAAAGGATTTGGGGGTTCTGGTTGATGACAAGTTGAATCTAAGTCAGCAGTGTGCCAAAGGGCCAACTGCACCCTGGGGTGCATCAGGCCCAGCATGGTCTGTGCATGAGAGAAGGGGCTGTGCCTCTCAGCCCTGCACTGTGCAGCCTCACCTCGAGCATTGGGTGCAGGTTTGGGTACCACAGTGTAAGAAGGAGAGAAAGCAATTAGAAAGTGTCCAAAAGAGGGCTACAAAGATAGGGAAGGGTCTAGAGGGCAAGATGTATGAGGAGAGGATATTCTATGTTTCTATGATTAATTTTTCATGAATTTTATACATCCAGAAATTTACTGTATCTTTTTAAGAACCTCATAAAACACAACAGGGAGAAGTGCAGTCCTGCACCTGGGGAGAACACCCAGCTGGAAAGTAGCTTTGCATACAAGGATCTTGGGGTCCTGGTGGACACCAAGTTGAACATGAGTCAGCACTGTGCCCTTGTTGAGAAGACTAATGATATCCTGGGCTGCATTAGGCAAAACATTGTCAGCAAGTTAAGGGAGGTGATCCTTCTCCTCTAGTCAGCACTGGTAAGGTCACACCTGGAGTGCTGTATTCAGCTTCTGGCTCCCTGGTACAAAAGAGACATACTGGAGAAAGACCAACAAAGAGCTAACAAGATGATAAAGGGACTGAAGCACCACTCCTATAAGGGAAGGATGGGAGAACTGAGGCTCTATAGCCAAAAGAGAAGGCTTAGGGTGATCTTCTGATGTGTATAAATTTGAAGAGAGAAGGAATTTGGAGTTGGGTTCTTCTCAATGGTGGCAAGTGCCAGGACAAGAGGCAATGAGCATGAACTGGAACACAAGAGATGGTGTCTGAAAATCAGAAATGCTTCTTGATTATGCAGGTCATGGAACACTGGCAAAGGTTGCCCAGAGGCTGTGGAGTCTCCTCCTTGGAGATACTCAAAAGCCACCTTGATATAGGCCAAGGCAGCCTGCTCTGGGCATTCCTACTTGAGTGGGCTGAACCAGATGACCAGATTGAACCAGATGACCTCTTAAAGTTTATTCCTACCTCAGCTATTGTATCTACCAAAATACTGAACTCTTTTCAAGAGGATGCCTCAAAACTAGCTTACTATCTAATATATATATATACATATATATATAAAATTGATTATTTATTTATTTATTTTTAAAGTAGTATTTGTAGCACTCCTAAGACAGGTATCTTCCACTTAACAGCAAGTGGGAGATAACTGTTCCTTAAGAATACTTCTAGTTAGGGCCATAATAGAGGTGTAAAGATGGCAACTGCACTCCACTCCTCCCCTGTCTAAAACAACAACAACAAAAAAAAAACCCAACCTGGTGTCTGCTCTATTTTGGCATAATAAAACAAGCTTAGTTTCAGCAGCTAGTACAAGCAGATTTACTCTTTTTGTGCTTTAGAAATAATGGTACTAATGTGTTGCCACTCTTGAAATCAAATATGAATCTATTTAATTGAAAAGGTAAGTATTTTCCTTTCACTGTTGGATTTTATTTTTATGGTTTCAGCCATTTGAAACTAAAATGGAAAAGATACAGTATTGTAAATCATGCCCTTCCCCCTCCTCCTCCCCCCCCACGACAAGGGTGGTGAGACACTTGGACAGGATGCCTAGAGGCTTTGTGTGCCCTATCATTAGAAGTGTTCCTACTTGGGTTGGTCAATGCTTTGAGCAACATGCTCTAGTGAAAGATGTCCCTGCCCATGGCAAGGAGGATGGACTAGAGTATCTTTAAGGGCCCTTTCCAACCCAAATCATTTTTGATTCTATTAAAGGGACATTTGTTTCATGAAAACCTATGCAGACGCCTATGTTTAGATAGTATGGTAGCCTCATTAGCTTTATCAAAATTCCTCCTATAGTGAACATAAATATAACTTTTTTATAAGAGCTTCTTTATTGCTTTTATCTAAACCAACTCTGGGTCCAAGTATATCTAGTGCAGCAAGCTATTCTGGATTATTAGTGTCAGCGTTCAAAAAGATGCATATGTGGTTCACTTTTAAATATGATAGGGGAATTAGACCAAATAAAGTCACATATGAGAAAACAGCTTGCTTATTATATGCACTCCAGTTGATCAGTTTAACTTTGGACTTTTTTTTTCCCCCAGATTAATCAGTCTTATACCTTTGAGCTTACAGAACGTTGCTAAGCTAGCACAGTCAAGAGTTTATTTTGTCACAGCATCCATGAAGTTCCCTCCCCCAAAACCGTCTGAAAATCTAGATACATTCTCAACAGAAGAAAACAATGAGCATTTAAAACCAACTTCCAAAGGCAGTGGGAGCACCTTATTAACATCGAAAAAGAAAAGCTTCCAGAGACGTTTCCTTCTAGAAAGATCTTAACAGTCTAGTGAGAAGACAACAAGCAGTATGGTGTAATGGAACCAGCCTGCTCCGGAGTATCCATATAACGTCGTCGTGAGAAAACATCGCTAAAATATTCAGCTTTGCCTCAAAGTGTGCAACTCTAATCAAAGCCTCCTGAGCACATAACGCAGCTCTTCTGACAGAAAGGCGCTACCACTACGCTCTCTCAACAGCAGGGCCTCAAACAATGGCCCTACCTAATCTTCTAACAAAGGAAAAGGTGACGGCACTCAACGCCCTTCGTCTCCAGCCCTCTCCCGAAACACACCGAGAGCTGAACTCTCCCCACACGGCCGCCGAGCGGTGCGGTGCGGGCCGGACCAGGCCAGGTCAGCGGGGCGGGTGGGGCTTTCCCCGCCCCTTCCCTCGGGGTCTACTTAAGGAGAAGAGCGGCCGTCGAAAAGAGCTGCCTCTTTCACACCCCTCCCTTTCCCCCTAAGGAAGAAGAAAAAAAAAAAAAAAAAAGCGGGGTTCTTCAGTGTCTGTTTTCCCAACGCTCCTATTGTTTTAAAGGCCTCGTTTGTTTTTAAGTGTGTAGGCGCTGTCACAGCTCCGGGGAACGATGGTAAGTCGGGCGGGGGATGACGGGGGAGCGGCGGTCGGAGAGCGGGCTGTGAGGCGCGCCGGGCCGGGGGGCGGTTGGCGGGGCCTCGTGCAGCAGAGCGGCAGCGGTAGGGCGGGGGACGGGGAGCCCCGCAGCTGCGGCGCTGTCACCTCACGGCGCCGTGCGGAGCCCCCGAGAATTACTGCCTTTTACAATAGGTTCTAGAACCTTACACGTAGGGTGTGAATGCCAGTGATACTGCGGGAAAATGATAATAAAAGAAGGCTGAGGCGTGAGTTGGTGTCGTGGTCAGAGCTGTTGTGTGAGGAGGACTTCGAGGCGTGAGACCTCGAGGAGAAGGCGCCGTGCCGCGAGCGGCCATTTTGTGACTCCGGGCACAGGAGGGCACAGCCGCGGCCCTTCTGCTCCGCCGCCTCCGATCCGCGCCCCGAGGTGGCAGCCGCTCTCCGCTCGGGCCCGGTGTGACGCCTTGCCCTACCACCGCGGGCTCTCCATCAGCTCCGGCCGTCCTCAGCCTTTTGCCACTTCCCCCCTCAGCCCTTTTCCTTAGCCCGTTTACCGGCGCCGAGCTGTTAAGCCGCCCGAGCGGACCGTTGTCGCCTCGGGAGCGCCGGCCCCACCCGGCGGCTTCCGGCAGCGCTCCGCGGTGATACTGGCCGGCCCCGCACGTGGCCGTGCCGTGCGAAGTGCCCTTCGTCTTCGAGAGTATTCTGCCTGATGTGGGCCCCGCTGGGGCGAAGCCTGGCGTCGCCGGGTCCGGGTAGAGTTCTGGTTGGTGCTAAACGTGTGCGGTGAAGGCAGCCGTAAGGCGTTCCTGTCGAGGTGACTGCGCTCTGGTATATGAGCCGGCAGCTGAAACTGAGCTGTTTGCACGCAGTGCTGTGTTTTCGAGAGATTCTTTATTTTCGGACTTTTTTTTTTTTTTTTAATAAGAACGCTATCTGCTGCTGTAAGGCTGACCTCTCAGCAACTTGCAGGCAGGACCGGGTAGCGGAGTTGAGCAGCGCTGCTGCATGGCTCCCCCTGCCGCCTCCGGGCGGGCGCAACGCCCCGGAGCCGCCGCCATCTTCTCCTTCCGCAACGGCTGCCATGGCAACCGAAGGCGGGGGGCGGGCGTGAATGCGGCGCTGTACGCTCCTTATTTTAAATAAACCCCGTGTGAGTTCAGGGAGGAAGCAGTCTGAGGCATCAGGAAGCAGTGCTTCTGAGGCCAGAGGAAAAATGAGGGCTTTCCTTCCCTTCCATAGACACAGCTGTGGGCGTCACTCAGTTAGGCAGTCCCACCTCTTTGTTTACCAACCCCTGCTGTAATTAAGGGGTTATTCCATTTTCCTGCCTTGAAGTCGACGCTCTGTGAAACAGTGCAAAGAGTAAATTAATTCCCCGTGTGATAAGGGAAAAGGGGTAGGGGGAAACAAATTGAAGTAGGTTGAAAAACTGAATAAGCCGTGAGTCTCCTCACACCTGGAAACTGGTTTTCAGAGTTACTTTGTGAGCTGCTGAGGCAGAAGTTCTGCTTAAGGTATTTTTGAATGACTGGGTCAATTTAGTTGCACTCAGTGTCCTTACGGGTCCTCTCCACCTAAGGTTATCCTATGATTTAGCTGGTGCTTCATGGTATATAATTCATCTGTTTAAGTGTAGCATTTTTTCCAGTTTTGGGAATTGGAAATGGCTTAGGCTTTGGATACTGATTCAGCAGCAGTGCAGTTTGCCTGTAGTATGCACAGAAGTAAGACAGCTTTGGGTATTAAAATTACAATGACATTTTATGCTGATAAAATAAGGGTGATTCTTTGGTTGATTTGACAGAACCTTTCTGTTGTAGTACTGAAGACTTCTAAAGTAACTTTGAAAGGAGAAAGACATTGTTTCACGTCTTCATACTATGATAACTTTTTCATCATGTTCATCAGTAGCTCCTTTTTATGTTCTGAGAAATAAGTGTATTAATACATCTTAAAGCTTGTTTTTGATATTGAAAAGTTAGTCATAATGCCTAAGGAACCTATTTGCCCCTTTAGATATTTAATGTGCAGAAGGATTAAAGTGCTGTATTTTCTTTGAAAGTTTTATCCTGCATTGTTATGGTGAGAAACTAATGATGTGCTTCCATGGTAGCCAAGGCTGTTTTTTACCTGCGTGTCAGCAGTATCTGTATGCCGACCCACTTTCTTATGCTGATTCTGGCTCTCCTGGGTGCATTTGCTGTGAGCTACTTTCTGCTTGAAGTTGCCAGAGAATTTGCACAGCTTTCTTTGAGCTTTGGTCGCTGAAACAGGTCCAGAAAGAGGGAACAAATGCTAACAGGTCAGCTCAAGGTCTGTGGAGTTGGAGTTGTGGAGTTGGTCTCATATTTGAGTTAAAATGTTCTTTATCTGGGGGTATGATCAAATAAGTGGTCTCCAGCTGTCCACTTGTTTCCTTCTTGCTGTGGTGTGTTCTCATGCTAGAGCAAGAGTTTACACAACTGTGGCATGGGCTTGGATCTGAAGCAGATGTGTCTGAAAATTACAGCCATTTTTCGCTTGTGAAATGTAAAGCCCTATTCCCTTTGCAGTGGTATAAAAAGCTGTCCTGTTACAATAAGAAGGATGGGGGAAGACTGTTCTTTATCTGCGTACAACAGAAGTAATCAACTAAACAGTTTGCAGTTGGTAGCATATAGTTGGTGAAGTAAACGGAGTTGCATACAAGAACATGGATGTGATGGAGCCAGGTACTTCAAGGTCTAGCTTCATGAGATGCTGTTGGACTGTGCCTCTCAGACTGGGTCTTTTCCATCTTCATTTCTTCTGCATCCACTGAATCTGATCTGATGCTTATCTGATAGCACAGTAAGCTGATTCTATTGTGTAAAATAACAAAATACTAATCTGGTCAAAACTTGCTCTCAATGCTATTCTTAGAAACTAAGCTTAGTGTGAACTGACAGCTGTTGGATCTTGTGCGGAAGAGGTGTAAGAGAAGAGATGGGGCAAATTGTCTTTGCTTTTTAGGGGTAGTGTGGTGTTAATTTGATTCAGTCATGCTGAAATCATTCTTGTGGAAAGCTGAATTCTACTTCCGGCATTATTAATTGCTGGTTGAATCGAGCCACATGGACAGATTGGTTCTTGTAATTTTCTTATTCCCTTACTGGGTGTCCAATTTGAATGAACATTGATCACTTACAGCTACAGTTTAAGTGTGTTAAATGTGTAATTTGTTACATTGAAAAATGGGTGCTAGTGATTGTAAATTATTAGTAGGTTTCAAAGTATCAGTAACCTCAACTAAATCAAAAGATCTGCGTAACTGAATAGGGATAATGCCACACCATTTGAGCTGTAATGAAAAGGTTATTTATGTTTTGAGATGTCTTGATACAGAGAAATGAGCACTACTGAAATTGTCAAAAGGAGGCTTTTTTTCTACAATGTAGGTAAAGAAAGACATGTACCTAGAACCATTTATTCAGTTAACAAGATGAGGAATCAAAGTCTCAGCTGTATGTGGTGTATTTGCAAATATCTTTGTATAATGTTTGGAGCATGTTTTAAAGTATGGAACACATCTTGGTGGCATCAGCAACAAGAAATGGAATTGTATGTAGTCCGTGTGAGCAAATGATTCCCTACATAAACATTAATCTATAATCCATTTTTCTCTCATCTGAATAGAATGAGAAACTTGGAGATTGTGAGTTATGTTAAAGTCAAAAGGTGCATGTGGAATGTGGGTACACAGAGCACGTGATGGCTGTAGTTATTGCATGACACCATGTAGATACGTGCAGTGCACACCTAAGATCCTGCTCTGGTGCTTGCCACTCAGTGACACGTCCACAGTCATTCATATTTCTCTTGTAGTTAAATTGACTAAAGCTTTTTTTCTGAGGTGCAGATGGTGTGAATATTTTATCAAGATTGTGTTATCTACCTCACAGTTAAATTGTAGTACAACTCTGTACCATAGTTCCAAAGAGTTTCTTAAGCTTTATTCACTTCTTGAGCATTTCCGGCTTTTGATCAGGAAAATGATGGAATTCATTCACTGGATAATCAATTCACAGTAAAGAATTGAATAACTTCTTGCTTGCATCTAAAAGGAATTGTGTAAAACTTTAAGATGAGTAATTTTGGGGTTCTCCTTGTAAGTTGGGTGGTAGCAACAATGGTTGTGAAGCTTCTAGTCAGGCAAGGCTGCTTAATGTAGTCTAGCTGGAGTCTAGATCTTAACCTCAAAGAAGAGTTGGTTCAAACTTGTCCATATGAGTGTTCCATTTGAAGTGAATACTTCCTTTATGTAACTGGAAAGATGCTATTGATATTTGTGGTCTCAAACTGTATCTACAGGAAGATGAAGGCTTACCTAGAAGTGTATAATAATGTGACTGAGATATTTCTGTTTAACCTTTTCAGTCTGCAAATGCGGAAGCCCAGTGTGGAAGTGTGTCAGAGGATAATACCCATCTGTCAACAACCTGCCAAGGATATGTTTTACCAGAAGGGAAAATCATGCCAAATACAGTCTTTGTTGGTGGAATTGATATAAGGGTATTTATAGACTTTCAATGTTTTTAAACAACGTGTGATATGCTTTAGTGGGAAAGAAATAGGAATTTTAACTTCTGGAGGGCTTTTTAAATTGAGTCTTTACTCCTCTCGAAATAATGCATTATGGTAAGAGAACTTTGAAACAGACCAATAAGGCTTTCCTGGAATATTAGGAGATGTACTATTTTTAAACCCAATTGTAACAATTTAATGTGTCTGTGAAATAGTTCAAGACTTTGTTTCTTTTAGATGAATGAAGCAGAAATTCGGAGTTACTTTGAACAATATGGTACTGTGAAGGAAGTGAAAATTATCACCGACAGAACTGGTGTTTCTAAAGGGTGAGCAGAATGTCATTACTTACTGTTTATGTAGATGTAATTCTAACATAAATATTGTCATTCAGTAGTTGCTCACTTACCATGCTTAAGCCTTTCAAAGTAAAGTGAATTTAAATGAAACATGTAAGATAGACTGATCTCAAATCTGTGTAGTCTTACAATTGAGAATGGGACAGATTTTATGTTGTTGGTGTACCTGTTGAGTGAAAATAGTGTTATTCTCACTTAACCAGTGGGAGCAAAGCATAAAACTTAGTGGATGCTTGTGGAGGCTGTGCTTTCACAGGTTGAAACTTTGACTTTTTCTGATGACCATAGCAGTTAAGCATCAGTGTAGTACCACTAATGTAATTGAGAGAGGAGGGAATAGACTTCCATTGGGGTAGTTGGACTGCAGTCTTTGATTGCTCAGGGGTAAGTTAGAGGCAACCGAACTGTTTCAGGTGGTGAGTGAAACTTAAGGGATGGTAGAAGGTTACAGAGACATTCCCATTGGGTATATAGAAAGAACTCTGATCTGTAGTGAAGAACTGAAGTGAAGATGATTGGACTCTGCCCAGCTGAGTTCAGAGGAAGCTCTCCCAGCTTTGAAATCAGACTTGTTTTGCAAGGAAGACTTCACCCCTGAAGGTGTGCTAATTGTTTTCTGTTACTCTGAGCAGATTCCAAAAAGTAGCATTTTCTTTCCATCGGCAATGAGCTGAAAATATTAATGCTTAATGACCCTTGCCTGGTCTTTGTGGTGAATTCTAATGTGTGATGAGCAAGCATATGTTCTGATTATTAGTAAATTGTCATATTCCATCGATTGACATACTCTATAGTTCTCTGACTATTATCTCCAATATTAAGGCTTAAATAAACAACAGGTAGTGAGATAAATTGAAAACCTCTCTTGGGATCACTTCCTCCAATAGTGTAATTATTCCTGTAGTTCCTCTTTTCATTCAAGCTTTTGCAGTACAGAATTTAGTACATTATAATTAAAGGAGCTTTTGGCTTTTTGATGCTACTAATATTAACAACAGTACTCACTTGAGTAACTTTAATGGGAGAATATTGAATCTGGCATTTAATTCCTTTCATTTGGCCCAGTGTGCTGTCAGTCAGCAGCAAATGTGCTTTGATGCTGAATTATATATTAATGTCCTGTTAATATCAGTTAATGTTCTCTTAACTGTTTTAGTTTAGAAAAGAAAAAATAACAGCTATCAAAAAAATCAAAATGTAGTAGTTGAATGATATATTTTTTCTTTTCAGGTATGGATTTGTTTCATTCCTGGACAATGTGGATGTTCAAAAAATAGTAGAAGTAAGCTTTTTGTCTTAAGTTGTCAGAAGAACCTTTCATATGAAGGTTGTAGGTATGGTTAGGGGAAACCAGTCCCATTGAGGAAAGTAAAAAGAAAAAAGACTAGAACTGCCCTGAAGTAAATGTGCTTAAATATGTTGTAACTTAACCCAGTGGGTAGTGAAGTACCTCATAGTATTTTAGTCACTGCACTCCTTCCTTCCCAGCGATATGGGAAGAGAATTAAAAAACAAAAACCCCAAAAAACACCTCAAAGTAGAGCTTGTGAATTGAGATAAAAACAATTTACCAAGGGAATCAGAAGAGAAAAAATGGGTAGCAGTTGTGATAATTATGTGTGTATATATGTAACTGTTATCCTTTACATGTGTATATGAAAAACAGGTGATGCACGAGCAATGCTCACCACCCACCAGGGATGCCCAGCTGGTCCCTGAGCAGTGGCAGGCTGCCTGATGAATTCCCCCACTTTTCATACTTTTCTTCTACATGATATGTTACAGAATATCCCTTTAGCAAGTTTTGGTCAGTTGTCTTGATTCTGTGTCCTCCCAGCTCCTAGTGTCCCCCACAGTGCCACTGGTGGCAGGACAGTAGGAGAAGCTGAGAAAATGACAATGGTTCCATGCCGCACTGCTCAGCAACAGCTGGAAGTATCAGTGTGTTTCAGTCAATGTAGTTTTTTTCCTAAAACCAAAACAAAGCATCATATTAGACACCTGAAGGAAAGCAACTCTGTCCCAGCTGAAACTAAAATACCTGTTGCTGCATGCTTTTTGCATATTAAGTCAGAAACAGAATTAATGTAGTCCTGGTCTTGGTGTAATTTAAAGTCATGGGTCTGTTGGAAGATTTGGGGGAAGAAAAGTAAGTGGCTGCATACTGAGGCAGTGATAAAACAGAACAAAGATTGGCATGGATAGTGTGCATAAAACAGAATGAAGACTGACAGTCTCTGATAAGTAATTTGAGGATACAAGGTCTGTGAAGCTCTTGAGTAGACACAGAGCATCACAAGAGATTAAAGGTAAAAGGCTTAGAAAGAAGGAAAAGAAGGAAAATGGAGGCTCTTTGAAACTGTATGTGAGTTGGTGATACTGTAGTACAGAAATAAAGTATGGTCTCCTGAAAGTTAACTGACCACCCACCTTACTGATTCTCCAGCTTACGGAGTAACTTATTTTTCAGTCACAGATCAGTGTCCATGGTAAAAGGCTGAAACTGGGACCAGCAATTAGAAAACAACAAAACTTGTGTAAGTATATATGAAGTCAGATTTCTGATCTGTCAGATCAGAAGTTTAGGTTTTTCATAAATAAACATCAATGTTCTTGCAAGTCCTTTTTTTTCAGAGTAGTGTGCATGTTGTAACTGATGTCAGTTCTAAATCACAGCCTCACTCTGTGGCATGTACACTTTTGATGATAAAATTGAATGAAGGTTGGGAGCACAATAGCTGAAAATGCAATATAGTTATGTCACGGAGCTGAATTTAAAAAACAAAATGTTGAAGAATTTTTTGCATATTGAATTCAGATATTTATGAAATATCCCTTAAAATGTTTTAATTTTTTTTTGTCTTAAAACAAGGTTCTTATGTGCAGCCTAGACCATTAGCTTTCAATCCCCCTGCACCACAATTCCATAGTGTATGGAGTAATCAAAACACAGAGACCTACGTGCAGCCTCAAGCTGTGGTGAGCCCACTAACTCAGTATGTACAGGTAAGGTTACTTGTGCTGCAATTTGGGAGTTGTAGTTAAATGTTCATGAAAGTGTAGCCTATGTACACCTTCTCAAATCTGTATAAAGATTCCAATCTCATCTTACCTGCTCATTTTTGTCTTTTATTTCCCAATAAAGGTCTTAACTTCAAAGTACTTGAACTCCCAAAAGGCCTGAAAAATTAATTTAATCATTCTTTATAAAACAGAATGCAGGGAGATGATACACTGTTTATTTTGAAAACAAGAAATCTTGTAGGTAGAGCATTCAATTAAATAATAGTTCTTCAGTGGACTTGCTGCTTGTCATGCATACAGATATTGTCTGTGTTATTGTCTTATTGAAATAAACCACAGACTTTAAAATCCAGTGTTTTAAATTATGGAAATAGAAGTTGGCAATGTTACTCTTTTCTCCTAGCAAAGCAAATTCTTGTTTCTTGCTGCCTTTGTAGGGACACTTGTGCTAGTCACAGTAGATACCAGAACACCTTGCTTTGAACTTGAATTAAAAAAACAACTTTTATTTCGTAGACGTATGCATACAGTTCACCAGCGTTATTGATACAGCAGCAAGTTCCTGTAGGATATCAGCCAGCATACAACTATCAGGTATGTAATTCTTTAAGTTGGATCAATAAGGTTGTTGGGAATCTCAGCACTATAGGTGTTTTCAGGGAGAAAGAACCTTTTAAGGAAAGTTAACAGTTAAACCAGTTTCATGTCATTAGATTAATGATATTGATGAAAGTATTGAAAGGTGGCAACATTCATTTCGAAAAAATTATTTAGAATAGTTTTTCTTATGGGAGGAAACTTTGCACTTGTGCAGTGTAAATAAAATCAATTACTCATGCAATAGACAGAATTGCTAGTCAGACTTAAAACTGTGGGATATATTCAAAGTAGAAAATGTTCTCTTGAGCTGTAAAAATGTACAAAAAATGTACTTGGTAGCCATTTTTAAGCTTGTAATGAAATGTGTAGGTTGTCTTTGTTCTTTCAGACTAAATGAGGTAGTTCAGAACTGTAGAAACTGAAGGTGTGAGATGTTTTGTCAGTATGACTGCTGTGACTGCACTTGGTTCTTTTCCTAATCTTTAGAAATCTTTGTTAAATTTGGAATGAGAAAAGGTAGGAGGCCATTGGAATTTGTGGTAGGACAGACCTTGTGCTGAGCACTATGTGAGGTCTACATGAAAAAGATACCATGCTGCACTAAGAACTCTAAGAATGAAAAAATCCAGGTGTGAAGTATGGTGTGTACGTATATTGTGCCTCTTAAAGTGCAGTTACCTGTGTGGGAAATGGATAGATAAAAGCTGATTATTCTTCAATTTCTGTTCAAGGCTCCACCACAATGGATTCCTGGGGAGCAAAGAAACTATGTTATGCCTCCGGTAAGTTTGCAGTGTTTACTTTGAAAATTTCTGAGTTAAGTGTCTTGATAATTAAAAAAAAAAAAATCAGACTGTTGGTTTACCATGTCTGTGTGGAATCCAGTCTATGCAACTCTATAGTTGCTGACATAAAAAGTTGTTTAGGCCTTCCTTCCAATGCGTTAGTTTAGAAATTGTATGACTGAACTAGAACTACCAGTTTTACATTGTTACTAGCTAGTGAATTCTGGAATTTTAATGTGCAAGTAAGATTGGTTCTTCATGCAAAGCTGAAGGAAGGATAACGTTGCCTAATACACGAGCTGTGTTTTTAAGATCTATAGAATACTACTGGTTGTTCCAGCTCTTTTGCAGACTTGTGAAAGTCTTCAGAATATTTTTCTCTGCAGATGATGTTTTTGATTCAAGAGCTCTTCTGAGCAGTTAGTGAGGTTGCTAGAGACTAGATGGCTGTTGGCTTCCAAGGAGATAACTTTTTGTGACTTCACACAAGTGGCATCCGCAAGAGAGGAAAATTATACAACATTTCTTTAACAGGATTGGCACTGGATCTTAAATTTGCATCTCCTATTCCTCACTTCTAATACTGTATTTTTAGAGTGCTATTTCTATGAAGTGTTTTAAGACCTAATATCTTTCAAGCTTGTTCCCAGCCAATGTGTGTAGACTCTGGAAATAAATGTGGGAGAGGTGAGAATCGGAAAACAAAACTTTATGCATATATATTGCTCTTGGCATTCATTTGATTGATCATATTAGAAGAAAACTTTATTACTACCTAGTTCAAATCATGTGCTCTAAGCTTTGTTTTCAGCCTTTCTGTATTATGGGGAAGTCTATATTTCTGTTAGTGAGGGAATGTATTTGCTAAATAATTTTGACAACAAAACTTATATATGGAGGATGTATGTTGAGGAGCTAGCTTTCTAAGGTAATTCTCAAGTACAAAGAAATGTATTTGAAAGTATTCTTTTTGGAAGGGGATAGAACTGTCTTTAAAACAGATGAGGATACAGTTGTCCCACTTGCGAAGCTTTACCAAAAGGTTAAGGCCGGCATTGCCTCTTGATCGGTGGGAACAAGTGACAACATAGTTATGCATATTCTTGTAGTGTTACTAAAATACTGCGCTGTCTTTAATATGCAGGTTTATACTTCAGTAAACTATCACTACAGTGAGGATCCAGAGTTTATACAGACAGAATGTGCTGCTCCAGAGCCCACACAGTCGTCTGGTAATAGTCCACAAAAAGTAAGTTTTCTCAGTATTTTCTGTTGTTAGACCTGTTCCCACACTTGTGTGTGAGGGCTGCATGGCTTATGTGGCTTGGTGAAGAGGTCTTCTGACCTCTTCATCATCTCTAGAATTAAGGTTGTAATCATCATTTCACCCATTGTTTAATACACTGTAATTTCTGCATGATTTCAGAAGGCTATCTTGCTTTCGTGAAGCTATTAATACTTAGTCTGTACTGCAGAGAGATGTAAAATGTGATTGTGTCAAGATTTTTGTGATTATTGAAGAATTGCAGGTACCAAAATGGCAGATTGGGTAGCACTTCCCATCTTACTTGGATTTATGAGTCTCAAAATGTAGATGGGTGAAACTTATTTCTCTGCTTGCTTTTGTGAAAAGCTCTCTCTGTTTGGCCAGCAGTTAGTTCTGAATTCCTTTCTTTAAAGAAGACTTTATTGCTCTCCTGTCTGCCTCTTTATGCAGCTGTACTGGCTTGTCATTTACAACATAAATGTTTTTATCAGTGACAACTGGGAGCATCGAAACCAATTAACAACATTAAAATTCAGGAAGTGAGAAAACTGAAAGGACTTCTGGATGAAATGTAAACCCTGTGACAGACTCACACTACTAGTAGTGGGGTAACTGATAGAATTATGGATGCATCTCTGAACTTTTATTTCAGAAGTCTGTGGATAGGAGCATACAAACAGTAGTATCTTGTCTGTTTAATCCTGAAAACCGCCTGAAGAACACCTTTGTATCACAAGAAGACTACTTCAGGGTATGTAATGAAAGCAAAACTAAATCTCTAAAAGCTGCTGATCTTAACTTTGTTCATACACGTAATACCATAAAGACAAAGATTGATCTATATTTGCTTGAGTTTTTATTTTTGCATGTACATGGAGGTGAATGAATGGTTAGCTTTCAGTTGGTTAATACTGAAAGAAAACTGCAGAATTTGAGTTCAGTGGATTTAAGTGCATTGATAGACTGCATAAGAACTGCTGAGCAGTCAGCTATTGGATATTTAGAGCTAATCATTCCTCAGGAGCAACCTGCTGAACGGTAAGCAGATTGTATCTTGTAAACAAGAGAACAGAGTTAAATGTTCATGGTCTTTTCTCCACTTAAGCACCCACTGTGGATGTCTATCTATACCTTGGTTAAAAAGTAGATAATTTCTATAATAGACTGTAGTTAGATCAGTACCTGGTCATCAGTACCTGATAGTAATGGAAAGTTTTTTGCTGTGCATTCAATCTTCATAGAGATGTGGTTTCTGATTACATTCTCTTTTTTTTATATTAGGGTTTCAACATTATACTTAAAAGCCTGCTACTTTTTTTGTTTTAAAAAGACAGATGCGAACTAGGCACCTGTACTGTGAGGCCAGAATAGAGAAGCTGTGTTTCTCAGATTCAGAGAGGACTGAGTGATATAGAGAATGTCTTGATGTTTGTGATGCTTCTGTTGCTTTGTTGTGATTGTTGTCTAGAAACATGGTTTTTTGTTTTTTTTCTCCTGTTCCAGGAGAGGAGGGCGCATCACTTCAGAAAAGGAAGAGCAGTGCTCAAAAGTGTTTGATCAACAAAGACTTTGAAGTACATAAATGTATTACTTTGATGTTCTTACAGTTCAGTTTAGTAAGATGTGTAGTAAAAAGTGTAACCTTTTTTCAGAAAGTTGCTTCGAGTTGAAGTTTGTGTTCCTGTTTTACCTGTTCCAAAATAGCTATTTTTGCTTGAGAAGTTTGAAGTTGTAAAGAGTTGAAATACTTCCAGGTTTTATTACTAGCTTGCATGCTTTTCCCACTAACTAACTGAAATGCTAATCTTAAAGAACTTATATGGGGAAGGGGAAAAGAAAAACACTCTTGGTTTGTTTGGTACATGTGGATTTTCTTCTGAGCTTTAAGGTACAGTTTGTTGCATGTTAAAATTTAATTCTTATTAAACCACAATTTTAAGTTACTAATGTCAACCAGTTACCTCTTGCAGTTCAAAAGTTGAAGCAGTTCCTTGTCCAAGATGGAGTATTTTAAAACTGAGCTCTTAATCAGTGGAACAGAAGACGTCAAGGTGTAACTCAACTGAAGCCCTTTTAAGTCCTGGTTCTCTTTAGACTACATAATCAATGTCTTTGTTTGCTAATGACAATTTATCTGCGTGAATCCTAGAATTCCTGTATGTAACTTAAGATGCAAGAATGTAATTAGTTACATTGGCTGCTCAGTGGAGTATGATTTTTTTTTACTGGATTAATTTTAGCAATACCTGTATCTTAAAATTGTGAGAAAATACTGCATTTAAAATATGCCTAACTTTGTGATGCAAAGTGTTAATCAAAGAATACATGTAAGCATATTTTAATAATAATTATGTAGATTTTAGTCATGTATTTTGAAACAATAAATTTTTTTATTTTGACTTAACCTTCCTGGTGTGAGTGACATCCTAATATAATACTGCTTAATTTTAAGCTGCTTTGAGAAGGGCATGCAGCATAATATTTATTGAAGGAATTTAAGATTTGTTACTCTACATAAGAATTCCAGTTACTACAAGTTTATAGCAACAACTTTCATGTTTGGTATTAGTTCCTACCTGCAATTTTGAAAGAGTACAACTGAGAACAGCACTCAGTCTTGTATGTGTGTTGAGTCCTAGTCTGATTTATTTTTCTTACTACTACCCTATCTCTCCAAATAAAAAAGGAAATAACTTCTCCTTTGTAGATTTGTATATATGAATGAATAGAATGGCATGTCCTATTTCAAATGTCTTGAAGTAGATGTCAGTGAAAAATGCAATAAGACCTGAGGTGCTACAGACCTGGATGGTGGACTATAAGATGCAGCACAAAAATGTCCCAGGACTGTTGCTTAGGAGTAGGAGTGCTCATGATGAGATTATTAAATTGAAGGGCGGAGGGGAGAGCTTGGGGAATAGCAATACTTAGTGCAACTCTACTTAAAATTACTCAGAAACAATGTTCTGGCAGCATAAATTGACTTAAAGTTATTAACTTTTTTCTCTGCTCAGACTGTTCCTTATCACTAAAGATGCTGTGTCCTTAAGTGTGTTTCTGCACTATCAATGACCATGTTTTTGTCAACCTATTGCCTTAATAGTGTTGTTTGTTTGATATACTTCCACGTTTTCAGCTTCTGTGTAGGTGGTTTTCAATCGTACACAATTAAACTCCACATACAAGTAATTTGGAGTTTTCTGAGTACGAGGACCCTTTCCTTTGCAACTTTAAGTACCTAAGCAGCAGCCTACTTGGATTGTTACAGCTGTGATGTCAGTTTATTGGTAAAGGTAATTGTTTCTTTGCAAATGCAGAATTCATTTTGGCTTAATGTTCTTGTTGGCTTAATTGCCTTGGGGGTGTGTTTGATTCTTTATGTTGTGCTATAAGAAAACATGATCTGCCTGTATGTAGCTTTCATTGAAGAGTCCCAACACCAAACGAAGAGATAAAAACAGAAGATATCTAAATAAAGTGCAAATTTTATGTTTATTTGACCAAGTGTTTCCGATAAGACCATCTGGTGAGCAAGTTGATTGTTCAGTATGTTTGAAATGGTTGGTGCTAGATATGAGTTGTTCTTATGAGCATGCTGAGATGGCTTATAGTGAAATGCATAGCTCAAGCCTTACAAGCACCATTTATTTTCTTTTCCATTAGATCATGTTGAGCTACTTCTGTTAGCCATTTCTCTCCCATAGGAAACACTATATTTTTTTTATTCCCATCTGGGAATTGTACATTTTGTGGCATGTACCATTAAAAGTAACAAGTTATAACTAAGAACATACATCTTTAATGTTTGTTTGAAGTACTCTATAAGCATAACACAAAAGTAGTAGGTAAATCTCTTTTGTGTTGCATTTGGAAAGTTAAAACATCTGTTTAGTATGGCTGTAGCTGAAGGCATTTTGAAAGTAGGTGTACAATTAGCTGCTTGCAAGTTTGTTCCACCTGTGTTACTAAATTGAGTGGACCATGTTAATTGGGAGCTGGTAGGTACAATAGTGAGTTCTTATGGATATGCCTCTTTTTAAAAAAAACTTGTGCAAGCAAAACAAATTTTTCCTGACTTGTCCCTGTGGCTTAACCTGGCAAGTACAACACAGCTGTTTGTTCAGTCCCCCCTTTGGTCGGATTAGGGAGAGCATGGCAGAGGAGGGGAAAGGAACTTAGGGATCAAGATAAGGGCAGTTTTGTAGGGAAAAAACAAATACACAAAACAAATGACTTAGAATTTGCTCACTCAACAGCACTTCCTCCACCTGACTGAGTGCCCAGTTTCATTCATATGATGCCATGTAGTATGAAATATCCCTTTGGCTGGTTTAGGTCAGTAGTGTGGCAGTGTCCCCTCCTGGCTCCTTGTGAACCTCAAGCTTTCTTGCTGGAAAGGCAGTATGAGAAGCAGAAATTCCTGGGCTCTGTATAAGCATTGCTCAGCAACAACTAAAACATGGGTGTTATCATTTTCCTCTTAGATCTAAAACCTGGCATCATACCAGCTGCAGTGGAGAAAATTAATCATGCCAGCAGAAATCAGGACACTCAAGTATGTTTTGTGTGGGATCTGAAAGCATGCAAGTTTCCTGTAATTAGTAAGCTAGCTTTTTGCATTAGTTTCATTTTTGCATTAGTTGTTTAGGTAAGCTAGCAAAACAGTGTTTGCATTTACTTGGTATTATGTAGCTAGCAATTATTATATGGTCCTTTAAGTGAAATGTCCTAGTGTGCAGTTTGGTTCTGTGGCCTTTTCAAACTCTTCTCACAAGCTTTGCCACCTGACAGAACTAGTCTTGGAATGAGACAGCCAGCCAGATGGTATTCTTGGATCTCTGTTGGAATGATAGTCTGTCTGGCACAGACAGGAATTTTCTGTCAAAATGGAAATATTTTTTTCCTTCTAGGTATTTGTGCATTAAACTAAGATGCCAAATTCTATCTTACATGAAGATTATCTGATACTTGAATGCTACAAAGAAACAAAAGAATGCTTCCTTAATTGTATTTTACAGGGTTTTCTTATGAGTGTCAGTGAAGCAATTATCTTCTCAGAGTTCACTCATCTGTAGCCTGTAGATGTCTGCAGGAAGGTGTTGGTGGACAAGCATTTCAGGATAGTAATTTAAAAGCTGTAGCGTCTGCCACTTTAAGTCTGAGGAAGTAATCAATTAAAAGGATTCAGATTGAAAAGAGAGAGGATCAGTAAGTACAATGAAAAAGTTTGAGTAGCTTCACAGTCTAGATGGGTTCTTGCTTCATATTGTATTTCATTCCTGCTCTTCAGTTTGTGATGAACTTTACTTTAAACTTCTGGGTTGGGGAGGAAGGGGAGAGAAGAGGGTGTAGGGGAACTAAAGTACACTTGAACTGCAACTCTTTAGGAGTATGTAAGCTGAGGTTACCCTGGGTCTTTTTTAATCCTGTGACTCTTCTGGCTTTAGCTACTGTGGATAGAAGTTCATGCTATGTGGAAAAAGCTTTGAATTTATGTACTTGGTACTCAAAACATTCCTCAAACTGGTGAGAAAGGATTGTTCTTTTAGTTTACAGTTGTGAGGCTCTATTAAGTGCAGTAATGAGGAAGACAGACTTTTCATTTTAAAAATACATTACTGTAAAATGTCAGAGCTAAAAATGTGGAAGTATGTATCCATATAGATAGCTGTCAGCATAAAGCAACAAAAATGCTCTCAGAACCTCAAAATACATAATAAAGACATCTGCTGCCGAAGGTTGTGGTTTTTGCCTGCATGATGGGTTGGACATAGCAATCTGTCCTGTACTGCTTCAGCTGGGTTGGATTCTGTAACAGGAGACAGCTCTGTAATGTTCCTGTGAGTTACCATCATTACTTGCTTATATTGTTACTTCACAAGTTGATTGTATATGTTTTAAAGTAGTGTTTGAACTATTGAGAATGTTGCTTTCTTTTCCCTCTGTCCCATCCAAGATGCTGTAAGTCAAGCTTTATACTCTATATACTGTGTATTTTAATTTTCAGTGAATAATACTTTGAATATTGTTTGGTTTTGTCTGGGATGAGCTTAACGACAAACTTAACCAAGTGTTTTTTCTCAATTTATTTTGTGCTGGTACCCTTGGTACACTGATTGTGTTCATTGGGTAGTTTTCCTAGGATAATTTGGGACTAGAACAGCCTTTAAGAGGCTATTCATGCTTTTCCCTGGGAGAAAGATGCTTGGAAGTCGAAAATGTTTTGGTCTGTAATGGTTAATGGCACTACTTGAGTGGGTTGGGTACATGCTTTTGCCTCTGGCTTCTGTAAGGATATGAAGATGGCTGTGACATACCACATTACTATGTGGTTTCTGACTAATGTATGCATTTGATTACTAAGGTGCGTTACTAAATCATCTTCCATTGTTTTGCGAACTTGCTGAGATGAAAATCTCTGCTGAAGTCACTAATGACTGGGAGAATATCCTCTTCAGAGTTGTTCTGTCACTTTGCAAATCCTAACTGCTGCACTGAGCAGCTGCCTTGTGATTTAGGTAAGCTGGAAGTCTTCTATGGATGATAAGTTGACCATAACCATTAGAGGGCTCACACCATACTGTATTAAAAGATAGCTCTGTAGTTAAGTCAGATAGCAGTTCAGCTCTGAATATTGTTAGGGGAGGGTATATGTAGTATTGTAGACAAAGCCTTACACTGTGAATGGTTTCCCTTATTTTCCTTGCTATTGAGTTTGTTGGTTACTATTATTTTGAAAAATAGCAAACTTACTTGCTTACAGCCCTAGAGGCTTAAAAACAAACAAAAGGTTTCGTCTTAAACAAAAGTATTCACCTTATATATTCTTTTATATAAATATTCACCTTATTTCTCCTGTTCAGCAAACCGATGTGCAGTTAAAGTTACAGCAGTAAATGTTAGGAATGCTAACATTTGATTGAGATCATTTTCACTTTCACTAAAATAGAGATCTTTATGCTTGGTGTTAAGCAACTTATTTACTGAATCTCATCCAAGTGGGGAAATTAAGTTGTGCCAACAGATCTTTGTTGATAGTATTCTTACTGTAAATACAGGACTCCATCTATTTTTGACAGGGAAATAAGTCTTAGTAGTTGTTCTACATGAATGCTGCAGTAGCTTTCATAAAACTTGACAGCACCTATCTCACTGCTACGATGGGTCTTCATTGACTTAAGAGACAGAAATGATTTTTCTGCTCTTTTAGGTCTGTGGTAGTTTAATTAAAGTGTGATTTCTGCTAAGAGGTTTTTGAAACATTTTTTTTTTTCAAAGTAAGAAAAAGATCAATAAAATCAATAGCAGTGGTGTTTCAGAAGTACTTCAGTGCAGCATTGTCTGCTAGTAAATTGTGATTTCTGTGCTGATCGGCCTTCTTTCATTGTGGGGG